CTGAAGGTTTAGATAAGCAGTACGATTGACACTTGATTATTAGTGAATCCCTTTTGAGAATGATCGTTATTTTTTGGTATTTCTTTATAGAGAATCAAGTCAGCCAACCTGACGCAAAATTTGACGATCTCAAGCAAAAAAATCCAGAAGCGTTCAAACCCTATACTCCAACCGAGGACTGTGGTGAGTATAAAAAGACGTGGAACACACTATGTTTGTCAGCGAGGAGTTAACGCAGGTCATGACATCCTCTATTTCTCGTCTTCTGATAAAGTCTCTGTTATTGTTTCAGATCCCTCGACAAGTGGAGCACTCGGTTATCACTCAAGCTTCGTACTGTCGATCATTATTGTGATGGTCTCTGCTTTCATGGGGTGATTACGATTGACGCCAGTAATACTCGGATCATTAACCTCAAATACTCGTTGAAGCTTAGATCTCGGTGACAGCTTTTCACGGTAGAGAGCTTAGTAGTTCAGTAACAAATTATTTTTTGAAACCTAATTTCTGCATGTTACCGAATTTTTTTCCTCTTTTGCTTTCTAACAAAATGGCCAAAGACAAGCAATTTTTGTGCAGCGTTAAGGTATGGTTTAAAGACCACTGAATTTGCACCAGCTTTAAACCTCACAGAACTGTAATGAATGGAATGCGCCAATTACTAAATAAAATCATTATCACCGATCAGTAGCCTTGAAAGGAATTCTAAGATGTAGTTGAACATGTTTATTGGGCCATCATCCTTTTTTTGTGTGTCGCTGTTTGACGTAATTGTGGCCATGCATGGAAAAATGTACCTTTAACCTAAACGGATGCGAAAACCGCCTACTGCTCAATGACCCTTTACACCGTTACATCAGTTTTCAAATTCTCCATTCTGTTCTCTATGAATTTCCTATGGTACTTACTAGGAGAATTAGGAGCAATCACGTGCTTCTTGAGTTTGTGATAATTTCCTCTATTCTCGTAACCTTAGTGTTTGATGTAGGGCTGATACTGTTGCGAGATGTAAGATTCTTGTCACCCCTTGGGTTTGAAGGAGTAAGGAAATCTCTGAAAGACGGCTGATGGATGCTCAACGCTTATGGCCGTTTTACAATGAAGCGTTAAGGTTCCTTTACTCATGCAAGTCAATGAATCAATTCATTTAATAAGTAACGTGGGGAGGGGAGGGGCAATCAGTTGTCGGCTGTGTAGATTCTCGAGGTCTAACTTTCACAGGAGGGGAGTAGTCGTCCTGGTAGTTAAGATATTTTTTTTGCATTTATAATTCTCGGTAAATGCGTATCCGCAGCTGAGGTGAAGGAACCTGTAGAAGATTAGGAGACACATATTAGGCTCAGACTGAGTGACAAGCAGTCGTACTGGTTTACCAAATTTGGTCGTCCTAAATCATAATCATAATTACATAGAAGTCTAAAAGTAACCAAATGCAAAAACTTTCTCTTTTCTGAAGATTGTACCACTTTCTGTATCCATTTGCTGTCTGTGCACGTGTGTTATTCTTTCACGTAGTTGTTATCACGTGAACTAACTTTATGCTTGGAACTGCAATTCTTCCTTCTCATTGGGTCTTACGCATGTATTGTTGAAGTATTAATAGTACTCGTGAGAACCTGTCAGAACCGGCCAAATATTTCACTAAGAGAAGACTGTGTGGCAATTCTTCTCGACATAATAGACTCACCGGTTATCCTGATTTCCTTGCTGGTAAGTTAAAACGAATGATACAACTACAGTACATTTATTAGTCTTATCCTATCTGAGACGGATATAATTAAGGACATGTTAAATGGAGTGCTCAAAATTCATTATTATTTCGAGTACAACAAGCGTAACCCAATTTGTTTCTTGACTCGTACGGCAATCAGCCAGAGTGTATCTTAGGCCCAACATAAATATGAATATCAGGGCGTGAAATTAATTTTTTTTTTTCTGACAGCCACTTGGCTCCTAAATTCTTCAAAGTGGTAGCCAATTCAAGAAAAGTTGGTCGCCATTTTCAAAGACAAACAAAACCTCTTTTTTACGCTGTCATCGTTCTAGAAATTAAGTAGGGGAAAAGATCATTAACGTGCTAAAAAATGGACACTAGGATGGATGATATGCAACGTTTAAGCTCACCTAAATCAAAGATTGCGTCTAGTTATCGATCGAGATGCATGTGCTGCATTTTGGAAACAAACTTAATGAGGAAGTTTGCCACGGATTTGTCTTTGCAAATCTTTTTAATTCACTAGATCTCTTAATAAGGTTATGATGAAACATTCTAGTCGCCAATTTGGCGACTAATTTTCAGGATTTGGTCGCCAAAGTGAAAAATTTAGTCGCATTGGCGCCTGTATTGGGCGCAACTTCACGCCCTGAATATACAAGGGCTAAATGACAAACATTTGATTGCATCTCGGTCAGGAAAATCTCAAAGGAGTGACATGTAGAGCTTTGGCCCCCCCCCCCCCCCCCCCCAAAAAAAAAAAAAATTCGCAACATGCATCCTACGGAGGCGCTATATTTCTGTCATCAGTGTAGAGAATTACATTAACGGTTGCGGTCGGTAGGTGTCTATGCGGTTACTGAAACCTGTTGATTATAAGTTAAAGGTTCACCTAATAATTAATACTTCATCTATGCTCAAATTTCAATTACGAAAACACGATAAATCTTACATTGGCATCACTTGGCGCGATCTCACCATGGAGGCGGAAGTCTTCGATCGATCGGCTGAGCTTTCATTGGTTACGGGTTCCAGTCTCGACCCCAAAAAGTACTGGTATGTGTTAACAAAAAGTTAGCAGATGGATTCGCGAGGTCTCAAAATATAATCCTGTTGTTGATGCGGTAAATCAAATCGCTCTCGACCGTACACTTTAGGCGGGAAATGCCTCCAGTCGAAAACTAATGGGAAATTGCAAAGATGTCCGTCAAGAATAGCCGAGCTTAACAACGGCATTCGGGAACTAATAAAGGATAATGATTATATAAGTTAAAGGTGGATGCCTCAACTTTCAGTCGAAAGAAAGAGTCCAGACAAGGAGCGGTCTCGTGATATAAATTAATGTGAATTCAATTTTTCGTGCCCTCTTGGTTAGTGTATACCTGAGGGTTACTTTCAATCTCTCCTATACACTCTTGGGTAATGTATACCTGATGGTTATTTTTAATCTCTCCTATACACTCTTGGGTAATGTATACCTGTGGGTAATTTTTAATCTCTCCTTTAACCTCTTGGGTAGTGTACAACTGTGGGTTACTTTAAATCTCTTACATACCTCTTGGGTAGTGTACACCTGAGGGTTATTAACATATAGATTTAGCCAAGCCTAAAAGCGGAGCTCTAATTAGTTTATTTTCCAGCCCTACGTTACACTGAATAAAAACTGTAATAAAACTATCTACTGGCAAGTCTTTGTATTATATTTCAACCCAACCATTTCCTCAACATATAAACACTATTACAAAGTAATTAGTCAGGGAAATGGAAAACTTGTGGCATATACACCATGTTTGAAATGCCATGACCGTAGTAAGCTAACAGGATTGAGGAGGGTGTATGTGGGAATAGGCCCTCTTGTCTGTATCAATAATTTGCTAATCACTCCTGTTGGCAATGTTTTGATGAGGTTGGGCTAGCAAGGCAAATGAAATGAGGATTTTGTAAGCAGTGACTCTTTTTCAAATCTGGAAACTATCATCACAAAAGCCATACTTGTTCCCGGTAACTCATTCTTATTCTGATAAACTAGTTTTGAGAAGGATACAATATTTTATAACAAAAACTTGATGCATAGGTTGTGCAAAAACCTTTAATTTGACTATACTTTTATAGCCAATATCAGTCCCTTCAAATGGTAAAATGTTAGGAGATTCAAAGAAAAAATAAACCGGCATACATCTGCAAGATTTGATGTAATTATTTTAATTACAAGAATGTTAACTGATACTAGGAGATTTAATAATATTAAAAAAATTATAAAATTTGGTTGAAAAATTGGAATTCAGCACAGGCTGGATAAACAAGGTTCTTAGGAAAAGAAATGTGTACTAATGAAAAAGCTAAGCAAACTTT